GTTACTATGTGGGACGTCTCTTGGTGACCATTGCCAAGAGCCGGGATCTGTTTGTCTCCAAGAGCTGGAAGACCATGGGACAGACAATGCCCTCTTAAGAAGGGATCAGTAACAAACCAGCAAGGAATACAGCAACTGGAAGAGGGCGAGGGTGCACTTTTATTGCTTGGGCAGACTGATACCGTCTCCTGCAGCACCTCCTAAAGCCACCCATCAGCGTGCTGCATTAAAGGGCTGCCCTGCCTTGCTGTGAAGGCGAAGGAGGCACTTTCCAAGTGATAAAGAAAACAGGGAAGGAATGTTTACTTTACTTCCTTGTTGAGATAGCTCTGAGCAAGAAACTTGGTTTACCCTGATTTGTAACAATAAACATTCACGGTTTCCAAAGTCTCTGTGGTTTGTTTGTTATGTGGTTTTTCCCTGGCCTTCTCTTGCTCTTCTAAAAAGTACCCACCTCTTACAAAGCTGGAATCCGCTCCACAGCACGCAGGAAGAACGGCTCGCAGCACTGCCTGGGGAAAGCCTAAAGCCTTGAAGAGGCTACGGTAATCCTGGAACTCAACAGAATATAACACAGCTTCGTGTCACCGCTCCCCAGCAGCTTTAGTTATGTCACTTACAGGGCTATACCTCAGCCAGAAGAGCTTGCTAGTTGTGTGCTAAGTGTGTTACAGCAAGCACTTAATTACAGATGCTGCTTTTTTTTTTTTTAAGGTAAGAATTTCCCAGAGCAAAAGTAGGGTTGATAACAATAACCACACTTGACACATCTTTTTCTTTTTTTCTTATAAAACAAACAAAATCACCATGAAATATTTTCTCAGTAATTACAGAGATTATTGTGAGTTAAAAGCAAAACAGAAGCTCCTCATGCATCACTTTTAAAATCCTTTTCCCTTCTCTGTGGGCTGGAGGCAGAAGTTTCCCATCTACCCTCAAGGGAGGGGAAAAGGGAGCAGAATATAATTAAGAGCTTTCTTTAAAGTGTGTGTGTGTGTGCGTGTGTGTGAAAAATTCATCACTACAAATCTAAAATGAGGTTACTCTTTAAAAACTTCTAAACTAAAGTAACAAGGGACACTAAACAAACTCCTGAAAAGAGATGGTAACTCAATTGCTTAAGGTGATATAAATGGCTAGAGAATGCTGATATCATGAAGAAATCGGACTAAACCCCTCTCAATCTCTAGTCACAGCTCTTCATCAAGTCACAACACATCACACTACTACCACTCCCCCTCCTCATCACATTGAAAAAATAAAACCCACCTCTAATGCTTTTAATGCTACTCAAGTTTGTTGAAAAATAAAGTTTCATTTGGCTGCCGTTGCTACTTAGTGTCTAGCTTGGCCATTTCTTGCACATAGATACCAATACTTTCACTGTCGAAGAGCAGAAAGTAAATGTTCTTCAAGGAGGAAGAGCTGGTGCCGTCAAAATGGGTAGAAATAGCTCTTAGAGTCACCTGGGCTGCCGTCTGTTTTGGGAAGCAGTTTCTATGTAGTTGGGGAAGAAAACAGAACAAGTGAGTGTCAGCCACCTGTGCAAGCGATATGCACACGTGGTGCTGAAAGGAACAAGCCACAGCGGTACCGACTACAGGCTGCTGTTAAGATAGCGCCAGTCGCGCTTTTGCAAGGTGAAAATCCCAGAAGCAAACCCCGAGGTTTTGATAGCAACATTCATCTGCTGCTGTATTAGTGTCCTTGCTGGCATAGTTATCATTTTCATTTGCTTCTACTTTTTATAACCACACAAAGCATTTTAATGCTCTCCCTTAGAAGGGAACTTTCCCGTGGCATGCTGGCCAGGCTAAAAAGTTCAAGCAATGATTTTGTTTTAGTTGAAAACTGGAAAAAAACCCAAAACAAACAAACAAAAAAATCAACTGCTGGGTCAACTTCCTCACTCTGTCACTAAAAACACTTTGCTCGACACTTCAGTGAAGATAACTGAAATTACAACCCCAAGCCAAATTAAGGCCAAGACTCATTCATTCATTCCTTTTGATGGCAATATTCTCTAACCTGCGGTCTGAAAAGCTAAAAGCCACCAGTCTTTACAGTAAGTGGACTTTTCAACTGTGTTGACATCTCTTGAGGCACCTGGCCCACATCCTTGAGATTCAAGTGTCTTGCAGCAGCATTTTCTCCATCTTAATCATCCTCATACTCCTTTTTCAAGTCACAGACCCATTCAGCTGCAACACAGTTCCTTCGCCCTCATCTCCGCGCTGCAAGGGAACTGGCTGAGAGCACATCGCAAAGAGCACAGTTACTACAAAGGTCAGCTGCTTCGCATCTCTGTTTATATAAAAATACAACTGTTATAATACTGGAACCGTTCTACGGTTTGAACTTGATGCCTATCTGATGAAATACTCTGCCTTGCAGTATGCTCATGCTTAGGAAGGTCTCCACATTGTTCTACATGTCTAACACTGAACAGATTCCTTGACCTAGCTTTGTGAAGCGATACGTGTGTGCCTCTGCCGCTGACATCTGGAGGGAAGGACGCTCTCCTGCATTCCCTGCTGGAGTTTCTCCGCTGGCTGACAATGCTTCTCATAGTTCTGCTGATTTTGCACAACACTGAAGAGTGCCGATGCAGCTTTCTACATGAGCATGCAGGAAGCAGTGTACCTTGCAGAGTTTGGATGAGGCTTTACTGGGACATACGGAATTGTCTGAAGGTGAGTTAAGGCCCAGCTGAGATTTCAGATGGGTCTTTGGGCATAGCTCTGCTGGCTGTACTTGAGTTTAATGCCTCCTATTTAGATTCTACTGCATGATAATGCTCCAGAGGAAGCCATACCCATGCCAAAAAAATTGGCCAGCACAACCTAGCCCATGTCCTTCCTCTAAGGCAGGATTACATATAACTTTTCTGCTTCTGAAAAAAGTTTGTCTAACCTATACTTCAAGATCTTCAGTGATAGGGCTACATCAGATGGCTACACAGATAAGCCATCCCAGTGCCTAACAATCCTTAACACTTGAAAAATTACAGTATTTCTTTGAATAGCATCCAGAGCTGCCTTTACAGGGGTTTTTGGGGTTTTTTTTTCTCCACCCTCCCCTCCAATAGCACTGTGATGTGCACTTGTTTTTATTTCCCTTCCTAAGTTTAGTACTACTCACTTCTCCTTACTCAATTTCATGTTAGTGATTTCAGACCACTTATTATATTTATATTAAAAACCATCCAACAAAGAGCTTGGAAACCATTCATCAACAACTTCTGTATCCATATTCACTGTAATCCAAATGATCACTAGCAAACAGATTTTCTTCCTCTTAGTCCCTGGACAGGATCTGCAGCAACCCAGCTAATACGCCTTTCTGGCAGCAAGCTATCAATAAGGACATTTTGAAAATGTCTTTCAGTTAGTTTGTATCTGCTTCACAGCACAAGTAATTTAGTCTAAACAGCATTTCTCTACTTTTTAATGACAAGATCACAGAGGTGAAAAGCCCTGGGACAAACAAGATATCCCATCTGTTGCTATATTATATCAGTTACTGTAAACAGTCCCTAAGACAGGACAGAGGAAAGATGAACATTCACAAAACCGATACAGCATATTTCCTGATCTACCCAACAACACCAGCATTTCTTGTGCAGGCATGCAGGTGGAATAAAACGACAGCAAACCCATTAAATCTTATTTGAAAAACTCTGCCTTTTTCCAGTCAACCTTGAGGTCCTTTGATAAATACAGTGTGAACCAGCAGCACCTGGTAAGACTTACTCTATCTTCTGTTAGCAGGAGTAACTGTAAGAGCAAGAGAATGAAATGCAACTAAGCAGCAGAAGGATCTGCACTACGACTAATGCTCCAAGACTGGATTATTCTTAGGTAATGCTTTCTATTGGCATTAAAAGCTACAGTTCATTTCTGAAAGCTGAACTTTAATAACAGAGCAGTAAAACAATTTATCACATTTTGCTTTGACTGAACACTATAAACAAAGAGATCTGTGTATAACTGAAGAAAAAAATCATTAAAAATTGCGCTGCCCCTCTTTTGTCCTGTAAAGCGTCTGTGTGAAAGTGGTATTTTTCACCTCTTGTGTGGCGATTTCACTGATCAAAACGCAGTTTTACTTTCCTTTTATTCACTACCAGGCCAACACAACTGGACTCTATTCTTTGGACATTACTAACAAAATCAGTAGTTACATTTCAAATTAAGCACAAGCATGCAAACTCCAAGAAGAAAGAGCAACTTCTGCAGTTAGAAGGGCTTGTAAGGTTTCTTGTGATCAGAGACCAAGCAAGATTAACTATTGGCTGTTTTTCTTTTTAAAAAAAAGAGAAAAAGAGAAATACTTTGGATTTCTTACTCAAGCACATTTTATTTGCTAGTTATTGAGGAAGAAATGTGTAGTCTCACTGTTGGTTTCATAGTTCCCTTTTTAAAGCGGAACTATATTTCAGAAACATTGATTTTCTTTTGAAAGAAAACATTTAGTGTGAGCAGTCTGTTTAATACATATTCTCAGAGTGACTTAAGCGAACACCTCGCATTTATCTAGCTCAGGCTGCCTCACTGTTACTTGCCTGCAGTATTATGCTGGTATCATCTTATTAGTACAAATGTAGTTTTAATAAGATTCACCACAGCAAAAGGAAGGGACATAAAAACTGAGGTGGTGCAAGCCCGCAACAGAATGAAAATTACTGCCTAGCAACAGAAAACACAGCAAGTCCACTCAGCTCTCCTGTGGGTTAGCTAATTTTTCTGTATAAAGGCTTTCTGCTCTTTCCATGCAAACACTGCACTTCGAAAGCTCCTTTAGTCTGGAGAAGCGCGGTGTCAGATGGCACCTGCCAGGGCCCTCTCTGGAGGCAAGGTCAGCCCCTTTCATGCCACAGACCAGAGGGTACCTCTCCATCACAGCAGCAGCTCTCTGGCACCTAATTATACCACTGCGACCCCATACAGAATCCTCCCATGCAGAAAGAGTCATACCTGCCACTGGGAAACGGGGGGAAAGCCACGGACTTCAACTTCTTGTCTTCTGCGGCTGTTAAGCAGTTCTTTATAGTCTCTTCAAGCTGCTCTTCACACTTGTCTGAGCCCCACTGTGGGATGTGACAGTGGATGACAAACTTTGCTGCTAGGCCGCTAGACTGAGTAAGTGCAGCTAACACAAACGAAAATATAACATTTAGTTTTGAATAGAAACCACCCTGCAACGACCTCTCAAGCCAACGTACTTCCTTACTTACATTACCTCTCCAAAGAAATACATTAGGGATTAAAATACACCACGATGGCTCACTGGCAATCATAATCTTGACTGTCTCGTCATTACTTTCATGATCAATTATTATTTCTTTGGAGACTAAAGAACTCAGGGCTCATTTGGTTAACACACAGTTATTCAATAGTATTTTTTGGCTTTCTCATTCAGCACAGTCTCTTGATTTGTTTTACGCAAAGTATCAAAACCTTGCACTGAACACAGTATCATTAATCCCCCAATAGACATTTCTGCAGTGCTGTCACAGTCTTATCTGAATGTCTTGTGCAAATATCCTGCATCATCATTACAGCTCCAGAGTGTTAGGGAATAATATTTAGACCCACTTCTCAGCTGGGTAATTTCAGACGACGACATGAAAATCGAAGATGTTTGTTGAAAGTCTCCACCAGTTACATCCAACTGGGAATCTCAGATTAATTTTTCAGAAAGCGTAATATTTCTCTGGGACCTGCAGAGCC